TTTACCTTTCAAAACAGAAATGTTAACCTTTCCTGGTCACTTTGACTTTGGAGAAGACCCAGACATGGCAAAGTGCCAGATCTGGAGAAAAGGTGGATGAGGACACGCCATTGTGTTTTTATGAGCCTGTCTTTCCATCGGAAGGCACGCGGCAGCAGCTTTCACTGTATTTTTGATCATGCCTCATAAACACACTAAGGAAAGAGGACTTCCAGACCTGCTGCAGAAAGGGGCAGGAAAAATGGGATGAGTATATTTGAAACAAGGGATGTTTTGATGGCTACTAATGGCAACACTACCTTTACTACAATAATTTTTTTATTTTATTTTATTTATTTTTTTATTGACATCGGTTATTTTTATTTTAAAGAAAGAAAAAAAACAGTGGTACAAAATCTCAAAACAAGATTTTAGGAGAATAACAATGGTTAGTACATTGTATATTGTTATTGCCAAGTAGTTTCTCATATTACAAGATATAGGCAAGAAATAATAAGCAAATAACATAGGTACAAACCTCTTTATTTAATAATTTTTAAAAAATTAAACATGCTAGTTTCAGTCACCCCCTTATACATACGAATTATGAATATGTGGAGAGTTGTCCTTTATTGAAGAAAATCAATCACAACACATACCCAAATGATCCAGTTTTTAAAAAATTATTTGAAAGAAAAATTAGATGTGTATTTTTCTTCACCAAGAATCATGCACAAACATGAAGAATCAGATATAATCCTAAATGCCAATTACAGGCGTTTAGTCAAATCCGTATAATGGAATCTAATAGAACTTTTTAAATTTTCACCAAATTAAAATTTCACTTTTAAAATTCACTTTCTGATACCAGAAAGTGTTCAGGATAAGTCTATGACAAATATTTTTTAGAAAGAAGCCTACTGTGCATAAAACGTTTCCAGTACTAGCAATTGAATCCAGGGCCTCATGCATTCTATTTGAGTGTTTTTGTTTCATTTATTTATGCTTTGGTTTTGTTTGGGTACCAGGGATTGCGTTCATGACCTTGTGCTTGCCAGGCAGGAGCTTCTGTCACTGAGCCATCTCCCCTCTCCCCACTCTACCCCAGTGCTACACCTTCAGCTCTATACAATACCTTGTTTATATATACATCATGTACGTCTTTGTGAAGATAGATACACGGATACGGCAGGGAGCAAACAGAACCAAATAAATACTCTGAAATCGTGATCTTGCAATAGTCTTGTGTTAGTGAATCTTCCATATACCTGAACTAAGAATGAATATAGCAATTTAGGCTCTGATATAAGACACATGTGATAAAATAACTAGTTAAGTATGGTGCCCTTGTGTGTCTCATTTTTCTCAACTATAAGCTAGAGCAGAAGCAACTGTTAGTGGCTGTTGTGCTCATATGAAAAGCTAATGCAAACTGAAGATGATTAGTACTACTCTGACTTGTTCAACAAAGAGTAATTTTTCTCTTCCCCACTTTTTGATGAACCTGAATTACTTTTGGGTAATAACAAACTAACTTAAAAAATACCAAAACTATTTTTGAAAGTGTTGGCCTCAAGGATTTTGCTTAAAGGTGAAATAAGTCCTGTACAGATAGGAGCTGAGCTGAAACCAGTCACAGTCCTGGCTTAGTGAAGGACAAGCTCTCCATTCAGAGGGAAGTAGAGGAAACAGCCCCCCTGCATTGAGATGCCAGCCAGAAAGTGGCCCTGGTACACAAGAAGATAAAGCACAGAGGGTACAGGTGGGACATTTCCCAGTACACACCTGCCAGGTACTGGAGTGCCTGACATCTGGGACATTAGACGGGTCACATCTACTTCATTGCAGTTTTTTCCTACGCCAGCAGCCCACTAGCCTCAACAGGCATTTATGGCAAATTGTCCTGTTCTCCTTAGGTTTCCTTAACAGCACTGCCACTGATCTGTAAGGGAAAAGATTCCTTCCCCATCCATCACGAGGCTCCTGGGTGAGGCTCCTTTAACAAAAAGGTTAACAAGGGGAAAGCACACACCTTCAATTAGTAGAAGCGCTAGGTGCTTCAGGAGCCTTCCGAACAAAGGTCCACAGAAATAAGAACAACTGCTGGCTATGCTCAGTTTGCCAAAGAGTGGAGACTTGGGCAGAAGGGTGATTGGACACAGCAGGTGTGGTCTCACGTGGGAAGGTTTGCTTGCTCCAGGTCTCCTGTGTCCTTGTGTCTTCAGAGATAAGGCTCTTCATACTGTGCGACTGGCCTGTGCCACGGCTGGCCCAGGTCCATTTCCCAAGAACTGCCTGTGAGGAACCAGCCCATTCCTCTGAGCCTTCTCCACCCAGGCGCTGCTACTAGATTGTTCCCCTGGCCCGAAGGCTAACCAGGACGAAAGGTGAAGCACACATGTTAATCTCACAAGTGGGCTACCCAAGGGTTCTGGACTCGAGGGCAGAAGAGCCCCTCACCTCTGGGTCCTCTCTTACTCACCCAGACCCAGGCACAAATAATGAAGGTGACACAAGATGCGTCTGCCTCTTGTTATCATAATATCTTCTCAGTTAGACAACTGACTCAGCTGTACTGACTTTGTGCTTATGCAGGAGGCCAACTGTGCCTCAATTTGCCTCTTGTGTTCAGCACCTTCCCTCCAGGAGAGGGCAGCTCCTCCCTAATGAGGGTCGTAAGACTGGGCAGAGTAGCTGGGTGTTATACGCTGCTTCAGGGATGAAGTTTTCTCAAATGTGATGGGGTCACATCAAAAGGAGTCCTGCCTCTTGCCCTCTGTAAGGGTCAGCTTTTTTATTAAATTTATTGGTACAATTTAAATGTACACAATGATCATGTTCATATTAGAGAAATTGTACTGGTACAGGATATATCTTCTTTTTTCCCACTCTTCTCCCCTCCCTTGAATCTCTTCCTCCCCTCCCTATTCTCAGAGCTTTGTTTCCATTTTATCCTGTTTTATGATTCTTTTCTTTTTCTTCCCTTTCTCCCCCAACCCTTCTTTTGGTTCTTTTGAACCATTTCTTCAGAAGCTGACAAGATGCAGGGGGCCGTCTTTCTCCCTCAGACTCTCCCCTCCTTTCTCTGAGCCTCCCTGCTGCCCAGAGTCACCAGCATTTCTGGTCACCTGTTACTCCATTCTCACTCATCTTCTCTGTGGGGCTATTACCTTCCCAGAGCAGTGGTCCCCCCCATAATACAATACCACACACCTCCCTTCTCAGCCCAGGACCTCTTGTTTGAGACACGGAAAGGATGTGTGCTCTGCAAGTAAGGAAACACTTTTCTCAGAGAATTTACTGAATTCCCCCATGACTCAGTCTCCACTAGTATATCCGAGAATCTGACAGTGTGGAGGAACAAGAGATTAGCCCGCTTCGTCTTACAGCTGCGAGGCCTGAAAAGCCAAACGCATCACGGAGCTCCAAGCCTCACTACTCACAACCTGCTCCCAGGACAGAGGCTTTGTTGGTGTTGAAAAGGGGAGCGAAGGGCAGGTTCCCTTTATTGTGAGAATAAAAGAACAGCCTGTTGACAGAAGGAGGAAACAAAATACAAAGTACACACTGGAAAACATAGTCATAACACCAATTCATGGTTGTTCAGAGTGACTGCGCCACCTTAGAGAATATTATCCTAGCAGGAAGGAGGAAGTTAACATGCACGCTATGTGAGCTGGCTGCTCACCCTCCTGGCCAGCCTTACGGGACCCACCCTGGGCAGACACACTTTAGACACACCACAGCCTGCGGGGAGGTTCGATGCTTCTCTCCAAAGAACCCCTCTAAGGAGTCTGGCTTGGACCACAGATCACCAGAGCCAAGCAGTTGCAAGCAGCCTCTTATATGTTACCTGGGCCAGCCATGGGTATTCTCCTCCTGTTCTGGTGTTTAGAAAAAAATGGGGAGGGGTCTCATGGGCAGAAATATGGAAGCAAGTTGCTCGTGTATGTGTGTGTGTGTGTGTGTGTACGTGTGTGTGTATAAAATATCATAATATTGTGATACATCACCTTCAATGACCAAAAATTGAAATATCACTTTCAAAGTTTGCATATTAAAAGTTTTTTAAGTTTTTTTGTTTGCTTGTTTCGTTTTGTTTTGTGCAGGGTCTCACTACACAGCTTAGACTCGTAGTGATCCTCCTGTTTTCTGCCTCCCTACAGCTGGGATGACAAGCATGTGCCACCATGCCCAGACTCCATTGCAGACTCAGTGGGGCTGGTGTGGCATGGGGTACCAGGGATAGAACCCTGGCCCCTATGCTTACCTAAGCAAGGGTTTAGTTCACTGAGCTATACCACTGGCCCTTCAAAGGTTGCATATTAAGGGTGTGGAAGAAAAGCCAACTTAGTCATTAGGATGTGTATAAGGGAGTCCATCTCTTCCTTCATCATCTGCAACCTCAAAACTTTCCTCTGGTGTCCCAAAGTCCACCAGGAATACTGTGACAAGCTCTGAATCCACCCTCAAAGAGAAGAAGCAACCTTTCCTGTCCTTGATGGTCTTAGAGACCACTGTAGTAAGCCTGTCATACCATAAACCACAAGTTAGGCCTCCTGAATTGTCCAAAATCTTGTTTCATTGTATGGCTTGGATCTCCATGCTCATCCACCTAAACTAATAGAATCATCAGAAGGTGGCTGATTCTTCTCTTTACTCTCTTAGAAGGAAAGAAATACTGCATAGTCACAGGCTGCTTAACAGGAGGAAAAAACCCAACCAGGTCGTGAGCAATAATATTTCCAAAGTTAAATTATGAACACGATGCACTAGGCAGTTTACAAAATGCTTCCCTTTCACATTATTTCAGCTCCTGCATTTGTTCAAAAGATTGTAGTCACAGGAAAAAGAACTTGATCCTGTAAGTAGCTAAATTCATTTTATCAAAAACAGATGACCTACAGCTTCTTGGCTCCCCCTCCAAGCAGCACACTTAGTCAGCATGCTGTGTCACAACAAGTCTGACTCACAGAGAGAACTCCTCACATATAGACGACCAGCTTGAGGGAAGCCCTGGCACCGTGGTTCAGAGGCTTGGCGTGGTCAGGGTGACATTTCCTTCCCCTGAGCACAACAGGAAGGTGCAGTCAGCTGAGCAAAGCCACCAGCAGCCGCTGCGCCCCAAGTCATCTGCATAAGGTAACTGGTGACCGGGTTTTGTCCCTTATTCCTTCACCTATCAAGTCAACCTAAATTTTCCTTGATTTCTTCACTGTTGCTGTTTTTTCTGGAATGTAGTAGGTCAGAAGGCAGTGAGGGGAGCTGAGTGTCCACCTCCCCATAGTAGTGATCTGTGCTTGACCCAGCACCTGCTGTCCACTATGTCTCCCTGGATGTCCCCGGTGTCACAACTAAATTCACCTCTTGTGGTTACTCTCCCTGTGCCTTTCTGACACCTTCCATGAATTCTATGATTGATCAGTACCCAGAAAGGGAATGGCTCCAAAAGGGTCGGGGACCTCAGCTGAGTTTCTACAGGAGCAATAGATCTCATCTGTGTCTATCAAATGTCAGCCTATGTGAACACACACATGCATAAGCACATGTGTGCCCACACACAGATCTCTCTCTCTCTCTCTCTCTCTCTCTCACACACACACACACACACACACACACACATGCTAAAATGAGAGAAATGACTGGAAGGAATCAGGGGGATTCCCGAGGGCGAACACTTGGTCCCTGCATCCTGGGACTGCAGGAACAAACCTCAGACATTTACTCTCCAGTTCATGACCCAGTGGTTTGGTATAGTGCTTCCTTGGCTTACAAATTTAATTTGTTTTACAACTTGAGGGAAGATGGTTGTGTCTGTATTTGTGTGGGGAAGATGCCTCGTCACGTTTATCACCTGATGTGAAGTTTGCTAATGGAAGCGAAATCTTACAGAGTGCTTCTGTTGGGGAACCGAATTGTTTGCAAACAAGTGTTCATGAGCCAAGACACTGCTGTGTTTCCAGTGGTGGTCTGGCTGTGTTTTGTGATTGCTTGATTCTTGGTGGCTGTTTAAATAAAACACATTGTTCAGAGTTGTACAACTGGCTTGAAATGCCCCCACTACATGACCACAGCAAGGGAAGGCATTGTGTGTTTTGTATCTGAGTATTCTTTAGCATAGGTGAATATCCTTACCTAGGCCCCACATGGGCTCAAGCTTACATATGCTGTATCATCTTTGTATCATATAGTTTTTGTATCATATATTTTTGAACCTTGAAAAGGGCATTCAATGTTTAGAACAAATCAGCATGTAAACACAGAGAAAAATATTGTAACCCCATCTAGTTTACATAGGGAAAACAGGAATTGTTTGGAAACCCTTATAGCAAGCGTCATCGTCTGAAAGAACGGTGTTTAAAAACTCTAACCTTTTCTTCTGTGCAGTGAGAGTCACTGTGGTAGAAAGACATCTGCTGCAGATCTGGACACCTCCCTGCACCTGTGGCGTGGTCTTGCCACCTCTAATCTTCCGTTGAAGCTTTGGGAGCCTGTGACAACACATGACATATAGTTAGCAGTTTTATTCTGTGACCATAAACAAATGAGGCCGGCTTCTGCCAACGCTGTCAGGAAACCTCCTGGCCAAAAACAGAAGCGTAGGAGGACTGGGGAGAATCAGTTCCCAATTGTACACATTCTGGTGAATTGTTTAAAAGTTTTGTGGGAAGGAAAAGAAAATCAGATATTTTTATCCTTAAAAACTAAAAATGTAAAATATAAATTCAATGGTTCTTCCCCATAGAAGAGCAGGCTGGCACCCTTGGAAGGGGGGACACAACACAGAGCTATGCCACCCAGATGCCAGCAGAGGAGACTCCACAGACACTTACCCCACCTCCCTATCCCGAAAGCCAAAGCAGACTGGGAGCCGAGGACTGCCTACGCCCCAGGAACTGGGGGTCAGGAGAAAGGTACTTAGGGACCAGAGCTGCTTCATCCCAGTAGGGAACTTCCTTCCACGATTGCAAGTACCACCTCAGCTGCACTGCCAACATCTGTGCCACAGGGACACCTGGTGTTTACAGCAAGTGCATTTCCCAGAGGGCCCCTTTCACTCCAGTTTTCTGGTTTGCCAGAGTTTAGGGTACCCAAATTTAGTTTTCTGTTCTACAGAAACTTAATTCTAGGGCTGATCAGATAGCTCACCAGACTAAAGCACCTGCTTAGGTAGAGCACAGCGGCTGGGGTTCGATTCCCTGTGAGCATTGTCGGCCCCACCCCACAGGGTGCACTGAGACTACAACTAAGACTGGGCCTGGTGGTGCGCGCCTGTAATCCCAGCACTTGGGAGGCTTGACACAGGTGGATCACTATGAGTCCGATCTACATAGTGATACCCTATAGACTCTGTACTAAATACATGAAGAAGAAAAGAAGAAGAAGAAGAAAGAAGAAGAAGAA